TTTCATAGAAATTTCCCGAATTTTTCAATTTATTTTTTTTAGAAATTCCCACTGTTGAAGTAAGTAGATTGAGATTAAAAGTAAAAATGCTGTGTAGTTTTGCAGTGAAAGCAAGGAGTTTGAGAACTAGGGCATTTTCCCCTTTGACAGTCGGAGTAATGGGGTCTAAGAGGCTCCTTTCAAACTCATCCGTGTCGGCTTCATCTACTGTTGAGGGAAAGACAGATAAGAAGCTCAAGGGATTAGCTACTGCAGATTTAAATTCTGATGAGGGTGAAGTTAAGGTTGTTGATTGCTTTGGTTATTTCCACTAACCTCACTGTTGATTTTATATGCTTTGTAAATTTTAGGATGGTGTGTGGTTTTAATTGTTTCGGGTTTTGGTGGATTGTAGGGGAATGGTGGGAAAGGTAAAGTGGTTGAGCAGGACAAGAATGATAATAAAGAACAAGGTTTGGTGGGTACCAATTATGATTCCAAAGAGGGTGTTTTTAAGGTTGTTGATGATATCACTTATAATTGCCATATCAAAAATTTTCTGCTTTCATGCTTTTATAAGAATGTGGTTTAAATGAAGTGCGTGTGAAATTCAGGATATTATGAATGATCCTGGCAGAATCAACGCAATGACAGTTCAACAACTCAAGGCTGCATTGCGGTATGTACAAATTTTGAGGATAAACATAAAAAGAGATGTATGGATTCTGTTTTAGTTGTTTGTCTTCTCATATCGTTAGTTTTTAGCTTTAATGTATCATTTCATGAACAAAAGTAGTGCACTGTGCACCTATCCTAAATTCTTTAAGGCCATTGATGATAAAGAGAATAAACCACAGAGAAGCTGTGCAATAAAACATTATGCATGTAACTGCTTTAACTAGTTGGATTAGTTCCTTGTTTGTCATGCAGTGCTTTGCACTCTAAACTACTCTCAAGGATTGTTTTTGTCCATATGAATTTGATTTTGATATTATGATTTTAAATTCTCAGGAATGCTGGCCTCCCTGCCAAAGGTTGCAAGCGTGAACTTGTATCTGCCTTGAAGAATTATTTGGATAAGCAATTAGATGGAATGCAATTTTAATTTTGAGATCAAGTTTAATTATTTCCTTCAGTGTTCTATTAAGCTTTGGTTCTTAGCTGCGAAGATGGGGAAAGATAAGAAAATCAACATTAATAATTAAAATGATGGCTACCAGTTTTCTGATTTCTTTCTTCTCTTTCTTGTCCCTGAGAACCTGTTTGAGTTCAATTGTATGTTGTTCATTTCCTAACAATGGATATCCCTTGAGCATGTACGTGAAAGTTCTCATTTGGGAGATGAACAACTTTCCTCCATTTCTGCTCAAAGCATCTCAGTGACAGGAAAGACTAAGACATTATCAGGTGAACTTGATGCTAAAATTGTCATGAAAGGAAAGAAGCTTTCAATCCAGGGTAGTGTTTCAGGTGCCTTAAGTTTCTTTGTTGCAGCAATAGTATGCTCATTTGCTATCACTAATCATTTAGGAACTTTCTACTTTCTGCTGAAATGTGATTGAGGTTATCAGTTTAAGGGGTTTAATTTTTCTAATAATTAAATTAAGATGCTTATTTTGGTAAATGTTGGTAGAAAAGAAGCCTTCTCAAGCAATCAGGAAAGCATCTTTGGTTATTGATGGCAAACACGCTAATGGTGGAGTTAATGTTCCAATGAGTCAAAGTGAACCGTGGACAATTTTTGCCCAGAAGAAGCCTCAGAAAGGGTGGATAGTCTATAATCCACGAATCATGAGGCCTCCACCACTTATGGGAGATACTAAATGTACAAAACTAATGTCTTGGAATGTGAATGGGCTGAGAGCGCTGCTGAAGTTAGAGGGGTTCTCTGTTCTTGAGCTTGCTAAAAGGGAAAACTTTGATGTACTGTGCTTACAGGAAACTAAACTGCAGGCAAGATATAATATTTCAATAGCATGTTAGCTTTTTGTTTCTTAAATTTAGCCATGGCATTCATTTTTAATTTGGTTAAAATAAGGTGATATTTTCTATTCAGTTTTTAATTATTTGTCTTATTTGAAGGCTGAAGCATAGTCTTAGACTCTTAGCAGTCGCATTGAGGTATGATATATGACAAATCCCATATCAGTAGATAAGTGAAATTATATTTTCCTTTTGACCTCACAAAACTAAGCACCAAAATTTTTCTCTTTTACTAGCCCAGCACATGATTGTATTTGAATTCATGTGCATATGGTACTGAATTGTCTTTAGATACTGTACATGTGCACGCCTGCAAGTGTGTGCTTGTGTGTGTGTGGATATGATTTGTAAAAAGATAGTAAGCATTTGAGGGTTGCCATTTTTATCTATATATGGAGTGAATTTTTTAATCTTGAAACAGGAGAAAGATATTGAGTCAATCAAACACTCTTTTAGAGGGATATGAGAATAGCTTCTGGACATGCAGTGTTTCCAAACTTGGCTATTCTGGTACAGCAATTATATCCCAGGTATGCACATTCTCTTTAGAAGAATTTTATTGATTCTTTGATATGATAGCCTTGCTTGTTCTTATTGTTTTATTAAATATTAGAAGTTGTCAACAGATAAAGCCGCTTTCAGTCAGATATGGCCTGGGCATATCAGATCATGATAGTGAAGGTCATCTGGTGACGGCTGAATTTGATACATTTTATTTGCTAAGTGCCTATGTTCCTAATTCTGGAGATGGCTTGAGAAGGCTGGTACTAGACTTTTAATATCTTCCATTATATCCCTCGCTACCTTTTCTTGAAGAGTTCTTTTGTTTCTTCCTTTTGACTTCCTTGCTTTTAACTAGCTATACAGGATCACAGAATGGGATCAATCTCTTAGCAATTACATGAAGGTAAGCCTGGCGTATATCACTATTCAATTTTCTTTCTTTCTTTTTCCTTTTTTTATTTTTATTTTTATTTTTACTTCATCTTCCTTTGCTTTTTCCACATGTTTTCTCCAGTATAGTATCTACTTTTTGAGATTTTAAAGAACTTCTGGTTTGTATTCTACAGTGGAGGGGTTATCTCCAAAAAGACAGTTGTTTCATGCTTGGCATAATTAACTCTATGACATCAATGAACTAAATAATATAATCTATTTATACATTGAATGTGGATCCTTAGACTTAAGTTCTGGAATTTGATGGCCATCATCATAATGTGGCATCAAATTAGTTATTTCACAAAGATAGTTTTTGGTTTGATTAACAAGAACAGATTATTCATTATTTGCAAATTTTGTGCATAATTTTTTTTAAAGTTTAGTCTTTTCTTTGGCCAGTTTTAAAAGTTTACTCATTGGAACAGGAAAAACTTATCAATGTTCTCCAGCTTTTAATCAATTAGACTTTCTTAGGTCATGAATATATGTGTGCTCTGAATCTGATCTCCCTTAAAGGTTTTTAAACATACGAACTAGGTGACTAGATGTTTTTTCTCAAAATAAAACATTTTCATTGTGCCCTTTGATTGCCAGATCCCAATGCTTAACTTTTTTCTTATGCATAATGCAGGAGCTGGAAAAGTCAAAGCCTGTCATTTTGACAGGTGATCTCAATTGTGCACATGAAGAGATAGACATTCATGACCCTACCGTGAGTGTTTCAAAATATTTTTCGTTATTTTTGGAAAAAAAAAAACGATATACTGATGATTATATTTGTCTAGTGCTAAACTGACACTGGCAAGTATTTCCAATCTAAATATTATTAAGTATTCTGAAAAGTTTTATTATGTTAGCAAAAATTCCAATTTCTTCCCATATTTTTATCACTCTAAATCAAACTGCTTCACCAAGATAGACAGGCTTTTTGTTTATGATTTTATGAGTCATGCCATTAAATACATGGATTGTTTTTTCTTTAATCTTTCGTGCCTGGATGCATTGGCAATTGTGGAAACATAAAGTGTAGTCACAGCTGTGCTTGCACTGCTTGCAGATGCTGCTTGCAAATTGAAGTAGCAACACATTATGTTTGTAATTTATTTTCATATTGGTTGCTTCAATTTATAGGGGAATAAGAGGAGTGCTGGGTTTACAAATGAAGAAAGGCACTCTTTTGGAACAAACTTCATATCCCGGGGATTTGTGGATACCTTTAGAAAGCAACATCCTGATGTTGTTGGCTATACTTACTGGGGTTATCTACATGGTGGCCGCAAAACAAATAAAGGTATACAACATTTCACATCCGATGTTTTCTTCCGCTTCCAGTTCCTATTCTTATTCATTTGAAAGGTTATCTGTCCCAATTTAGTTGAATGGTATGATTTAGTCATTGTTTTTGAAACAGGTTGGCGGCTAGACTACTTCCTCGTCTCAGAATCCATTGCTGACAAGGTTTACGATTCATACATTCTTCCTGATGTTACCAGTAGTGATCATTGCCCTATTGGCCTTATACTGACACCTTAGTTAAACCGTCAATATTTTAGCTATTGTTCAGACTACCAGATGGAATCAACCCAAAAAACCAACTTCCAAGAAACTTGATGGTGTGGACAGTTGGAAAAAGTAGATGTAAGTGACCATTTTGCTGTCTAATCCCAGTGAGAAAAACTGCTTCATAGCTTTAACTTATGCTACCAGCTCTGGTTTTCTTTCCCCCACGAACAAATTTATCAAATATTTTGCAAGGTCATCTCCCATATGGGAAGGGGGTAGAACTTAAATTTCCAGAGATTTCACTGAAATTTTAATTAGTCAGTGTTTGTACAGTCTATTTCCCTGATATGATATCCCCTTGGTAGTAGTTGTTTAAAATTTTCCTTTTTACAATATTTGACTCTATCAATCACACCATACATCCTACGGATGTGGGTGCGTTGTCTGAATATTTTTCTTACTGACAAACACTAATCTCGTATCAAGATTTTGATAACCAAGGATGTGGGGAGAGTCAATACTGAAAACACTTATAATGTGCGATTATTTAATAGATGGATTGATATACATTCACTTGTCTGATGAGTATGTGATGTTATTTACGAAAGGAACACGGTAGCTCATTACTATTTTAAGATTTTGAGTAGCACAAGTTGTTTCTCAGGTGTACTGCTTCTAGGATTGAGAGCAGTGATGGCGGGTTTTCCTCTTTAAGGTTTCTCTTCAACATAGGAGTTCCTTCGTCCCTTCTTTCTTCTTACCCCTCCCTTCCTCCTCTTGATCACCTCCTTCACATCTTGTCATTGTCTTGCTTTGGAAACTCCAACCCAAGGGACCATAAGGCAGCAACATATTTGGGTTTTCTAGGATGTAAGGCTGTGATTTGGAATTGATTTTGTCGGTGAAGTGAGTTTCTCCTATTTAACGGGCAAGAATCTCGTTTTGGCGCATCTCCTCAAATGGGTTCTTAGTGAATGTCGAATTTGGTGAAATTGGTTTACACCTGTTCTTGATCAGCTAACCGATTGTAGAAGGATAGGGATTCTATTGGTAAAGCTGACTAGGGTTTGTGTGGGAAGCTTGCTATTCAAGCTGGCAAAGGGGCTCTAGTTCCCTTATTGAGTTTTGGTAGCATGGGTTTGAAGAGGATCGGTAACGATGGGAGCATAATTGGGTGTATATGGAGGCAACTAGGGGGTCTTGTGTTTGTCTAGAAAAGGTCCCTCTTGTTTGTTCTTCTTTAAGAACAAATAAGACGGCAACTTGCGGGTTGAGGACTGTTTATTAACGAAATCCCTTGCTCTTCCCAAGAAGTTGGCTAAATAGTGATTTCCCTTTCTACATTAGTAGTTCTATTTAAGTCATACAGTAATTGTAATTTCAATCTCTAATTGTAAATGGTTTTTTTTGCTTAATTGTTTATATCCATCATGAATATAGTTTAAATATGTTACTAGTGTTGTAAGTTATGATTCTGATTTTGTTTTTAAATTATTTTGCTTTT